GAAGCCAAGGGTTGTGGTCATATTTCTTTCAGATATTTCCCATCTTGAAATTTTAATTTTATTATTGTTAGTGGTGTGTGTGAGGGCACGTGTGTGCGGAGAGAGAGGATAAGTTGGTTCTCCCCTTCCACCGTGATTCAAGGCAAGGTCTCTCTTGTTTCTGTCACAGTGGCTCATAATTCTGACCAGTTTACTCAAGAGTCTCCAGGTGATGATCCTGTCTTCACCCTACCTTCCCACAGGAGTGCTGGGATCACAGATGTGCACTACCACATCTGGCTTTTTGTGAGCCCTGGAGGGTACACCCCAGCCACAGGCTTACACAGCTTGCACTTTTACCTGCTGAGCCATCTTGCCAGACTCACCTTACTTTTTGAGATGGCATCTTTTGTTGAGATTGGGGGTTACCAGTTCAGCTGGATTCAGCTACACTGGCTGCCCAGCAAGTCTCAGGGCTCCTCCCAAGTGCTAGGATTTTAGGTGTGTGCTGTGGTGCTCAGCTTTTCACACAGGTGCTGGGGATGTTAAATTATGCTTACACAATGAGCACTTTACAGACAGAGTCCCCTTCTTTCTCTTTTAAAGGATGGCCCAAACACCTTCTCTTCAGCTTGGCAAGGGCTGTTTGGTCTCCTTTTCAACGGAACATTCTATATTCAAACATTTCCATTTGGAATACCAAATGAGAAATCACAGATTACAATATTGGGCCACTCTTCAGGGACTATTGCTTGGCCAAAAATGCCCATGAATTTGCTAGCTCCAGCAAGCCTGATGAACTCCCTGAAGAGACCCAGACTGAGTTGTGAACACAAACTACAGTCAGGATAATGCATTTTGTTTTTCGCCACACACACACACACACACACGAATGCATTATGGGACTGGGGAGAAGGCCCAGCAGCTAAAGCACTTCATGCCCAAGCTTGAAGACCACAGTTCAGATCCCCAACAGCCACATACAAGCCAGGCACATGTGGTGAGCTTCCTGAAGTCCCAGTGCACAGGAGGCAGGGGCAGGGATTCCCTGACAGAAAATGGCTTGCTAGACTAGTTGAATAAGCAATCTCTGTTGTAAGTGTGAGATTCTGCCTCAATAAGTAGAATAGAGAAGAACTGAAGAAGACATTGACTCAAACTCTGGCTTCCACAGGCAAGTACATGTGCACCTCATACATGCAAGCGTGCACACACACACACCACACACACACACACACACACACACACACACACACACACACACACAC